CTTTAGCTTACACATACACAACTGAATAGAACTTACACATCTTCGATTTGTTTATATCTACATTTCAGTGAGGTGGATGGGGTGAGGTGGTATTAATAGGGTATTAAATTCCTAAACACAAGACTATTGGTCCATATTTCTTGATGCTTCTATATTGGAGCGGAGTCTTGAGGTGGGTAGAATATAGTTGTGCATTAATTGGCTGTTGATTGCTGCTGTTGACTTCTTGATGTGTAGAGCCTCGCAGACGTCAAGCCGCCTGCTATCACTGTATCTATCGATGATTTCTGTGTTGTTTACTAGGATTTCTCTGGCGATACAACTGACGATTTAGGCTTTCTACAAATCACTTCCATTCAATACCCATTGTTTCGTGTTCTGTCTTGTGTTTAGGAATTTAATACCCTATTAATACCACCTCACACCATCCACCTCACTCAAATGTAGATATAAACAAATCGAAGATGTGTAAGTTCTATTCAGTTGTGTATGTGTAAGCTAAGGTCTTTGAAAATGTAATAAGTTTTACGAAACGCGCTCAAGTGTTGCGTCAGACTAGAAATAAAAATGAATTTTGGAGAATTGATTTTTGAATTACCACCAACAGTGAAAAGAAACGCACGAAAGATCGAGAAAATTCGTGTTAGAATTATTAATCTTACTTTTTCGGTCATATTTAATAATATATGTCTACAGGAAAGACTGCTCCCAAAATATATATATATATATAGACTGCTACCAAAAATATATATATATATATATATATATATATATATATATATATATATATATATATATATATATATATATATATGTATATATATATATATATATGATAGTTGGTAATTTAATGAAAAAATAGTTTTACAACACACGGCATAATAGCCAAAACTTAAAAACAATCTTCAGGTATTTTAAACTGAAGAGAGCAAAATGCAACAGTGAAGGAAAAGACATCGGCTTCACCTTCACAGAACTGGACACTAAGTTCCTTGAAAGTGCTGAGGGCTTCCCGGCAGTGAGTTCTGGTATTCTCGCTCGCTTAAACTGCGGCAGAAATGGTCAGATGAATTCCAGGCCGCGTGGGGAGATTTTTTTGTTGGTCTTTGGTATATGAAAACACACACACGCGCGCGCGTGAGCGAGCGATTACGTGAGTACACACACACACACTGTGTGTGAGTTTCTTTCACCCTGATGCCCCTGTTACCTAGCAGTAAATAGGTACCTGGGAGTTAGACAGCTATTACGGTCTGCTTCCTGCGGTGTGTGGAAAAAACTAAATAAAAATATAAGTAGTAGTTAGTAACAGTTGAGAGGCGAGCAGAAAGAACAGAGCTCAACTCCCGCAAGCACAACTAGGTGATCACACACACACACACACACACACACGAGCTAAGAGCTCGGTTCTGCAGGCACAAAGAGTAAATACACACTCTCTAACGAGTAAACTACTATTCTCCAACACAAGAACCACCTTCGTCTATCTTCCATTCCCCCCACCATCACACTGCCCCTCTCTTCCTCCACCTCACTGAGACTCCCATCACCCGTCAGTACTCCACCCCCCCCCCCCTTTCCTCCAACACACTCTTGTCAGCCTCCTCTCATCAGAACTTTCTATTCTCGTGCTTATCAACCCCTCCACATCACTCCGCTTCTTTAATGTTTCCTTTTATCACTGCCCCTCTCACCTCGTTCCCTTTCGTTAACTTGTCTCGTTCACAAAACCCCTTCATTCATCACCCATCTTGGCCCAAACCCTTCCATCAGCACCGTCCTCTCTCCACCATTCCTTCCTTCATCAACGTCTTCCTCACATACCCTCTTATCACTTCCCAAACGCCTATACTGATTGTGTCTAACTATGGAGACCTCATCTTCAGAGGAATATAGCTGCTCTGGAGAAAGTGCAACACCGGGCAACAAAAATCATTCCAGAGATAAGTCACCTCACCTATAAGGAACGGTTGAGGGCCACAGAGTTAACAACACTACAAACCAGGCATATTCGGTAGTGCCTGGTTTGCCTGCCTAATAGGCAAACCTGGCAAACCATTTTTTGTGGTGCCCGTTAGTGCAATCAAAGGTAGAGGAGTGCAGGCAAAACAGGCAGACCAGGTTTTGTAGTGTCTACCTAACAACAACTACAATCCAGGGAGTTTATGGGCTCACCATAGCCTGCGCTACATGGAAATTTTAGTTCCAAGTAACTCAATCTAAAAACGACAACAACAGCCTATACGGAGTCCATGTTACTACGCCTAACTGTTTCCACCCACCCATCACCCACAGTCTCTCTCTCTCTCTCTCTCTCTCTCTCTCTCTCTCTCTCTCTCTCTCTCTCTCTCTCTCACTCTCCCGCTTCCCAATTGTTGACGCCTCCCTTTCTACTCCTCCCCCTTCCCTCTTCTCCTCCCCTCTCCTCTCAAAATTTCTCCCCAACCCTCTCCCATCAACCCCGCACCACATCTCTGTTCCGTCTGCCTCCCATGCTCCACCACTGCCCCTCCCACCACTCTCACGCCGCCTCCCCCTCCCTCCCGTCCCTAACAAAATCTTCACGACGTCCCTCTTAAAAATCCCCCCTCCTCCCCCTCCACAATCAAGACTTAATTACATTACACAGACAACCAAACACTCCAGCCCCTCCTCTGTCTGCTCCCCCTGCAATCTGAGGGGGAGGAGCTCTGTCCGCTCTCTCACCCCAGAGCTCCTCCTCCCTCATGTCTCAGACCCACCAACATACCCAAGTCGTACCCTCGACCTGCTGTCGGGCAGTAACAGCCGTCCAGGGCATCATGACCTCCAACCCAGGTCCCAGATACTGGGACCTGGGTTGTCTCCCAGGTCCCAGTTCCCAGCTCCTCGGCACCAGGAATGTTTACAACAATAAAGGCATGCAATAAAGAACTCGGGTAGCATCCTTATGGGCATAAATATAATACAAAGTCTTACAAACGAGATATTAATTCATTTGGTCTGAGACAGGAAGCCTTAGTATATAATTACTTTAGGCTTGTATCGGCGTCCCCCTTTCCGACCAAGGGCGAACTACTGACCCTTACCAGGATGCAACCTCACAACAGTTGCCTAGCTCTAAGCGAACAGACGCATCAGATAAAAGATAACGTGCACAACCATTACTGCCGCGCCCGGGAATTGAAGCCGAACTCTCCGATAAAATAATTTTACCCCCCTCAAAGAACTGTTATTTTTTACAGCTATAAATTTGAGTAAATTATAACTTAGATAAAAAAAATATCTCTAGGTGGAAGATATAGATATTATATATATATATATATATATATATATATATATATATATATATATATATATATATATATATATATATATATATATATATATATATAATCTTTGGACAACACCCACCAGTGGGACTCGAACCCAGAAAGCACAACTACCTTCCAGTAGCTGCCATAACTAGTACGCTTTAACCCACTACACCATCAGACCCTACAAAAGAAGTATATATATATATATATATATATATATATATATATATATATATATATATATATATACAGGAGGGTCATGCAGGAACTCTACCCAAACATACCCAGAGTCACTGATCAGCACGTCAATAAAGCCTGAATTAAACCTAATACGAAGAACATAAGTCCCAGTGACAGGGCTGAATACATAAAGAGAAGCATGAAGAGATATGTAAAGAAATACATAAAAGATATAAAAAGAGATACATAAAGAGATATAACAAGAAATTCATAAAGAGATACTTAAGGAGATATGTAAAAATATACATAAAGCTGTACTTAAAGATATTCATTAAGAGATTCATAAATATATAAAGAGATACATTAATGGATACAAAGAAATACATAAAGACGTACATAGAAATATACATGAAGCATAATGATACATAGAAGACAGAAACAGAAGGGTATAAAATAAACAAATGGTCTTATAACAACATACCCAGTTCAAAAAAAATATATACCAAAACTCTTATATTATATTTTCAGATTAATCCGCCAAACTAAACATAGTAAATACGGTCTAATACTTTTGAAGCAATTGTTATGATATTAACGTTACTATAAAATCCTCAATGTAATAATATAAAGTTTAAAACCCCAAAATTAATATTTCAAGGGAGACAAACATAAAAAAACTTCAAACATAAAAAATATAGAATTTTTGTTGTTGTTGTCTTGAGTATTTTTGTTTCAAGACGCTCTAGAAATTTACTGCAATATAATGTTCATGTATTTATTATTATAATTATTAATATTATTACTAAGAAAATCTGTAGAATCCTTGATGAGGATTCGAACCTGCACACCGGGTACTCCCCAACACACGCCCTTAATATCTCGGCCACGACATTCTCAAAAGTAATTTAACCTGGGATTCCACTGAACAATCTAGGTGCCCTGCGGCTTCCACTGAAACCCAATCAGGGTTTCACGCATTTGTTCTCCATGCACTCTGGCTGTGGTATAGGAATTATGCAGGTCGGCGTTCAATCCCCGACCGTCCAAGTTGTTGGTCACAATTCCTTTCCCCCCGTCCTATCCCTAATCCTTATCCCGACTCCATCCCAGTGCTATACAGTATTAATGGCTAGGCGCTTTCCCCCTGATAATTCCCTCCCTTCCCTCCTTGATACATCACGTTAATATGATTTCCTTCTGCAATATTATTAACATCATTTTTAGCCTAACAAACAGATGTGTATAATATGTTTTGAACACAATGTAAAAACTATTATTTTTACTATAATGATTCTTTAATTTAATACCGAGATGTGTGTTTAACTCCAGGATAAGATTAAGACAAACAAAACTTACATTCACTGACGCGGTTGCTATTAAAGTTCCTAATAAAAAGCAGTAACCAGGTAAAACAATGTAAAGTGATTATCTGGCATTAAGCCCTTACGGCAAGCTACTATTTATAAGCATATCTCAAATTCTTCTTGGGTTGTTTAAGCTTCTGAGTGGCAGTGAAGGAATTGAATGTTAATTAAGAATACCACTGAGGTATTTACAGGTCACAAGGGTGACATTGTGGCGCTACTAGTCTTCAAGAGTGAGAGCGAGATACTCCTACACTCCAAGTATACTAGTAACGAGCCTCCACGCTCCAAGTGTACTAGTAAGGAGCCTCCACGCTCCAAGTGTACTAGTAAGGGGCCTCCACGCTCCAAGTGTACTAGTAAGGAGCCTCCACGCTCCAAGTGTACTAGTAAGGGGCCTCCACGCTCCAAGTGTACTAGTAAGGAGCCTCCACGCTCCAAGTGTACTAGTAAGGGGCCTCCACGCTCCAAGTGTACTAGTAAGGAGCCTCCACGCTCCAAGTGTACTAGTAAGGGGCCTCCACGCTCCAAGTGTACTAGTAAGGAGCCTCCACGCTCCAAGTGTACTAGTAAGGGGCCTCCACGCTCCAAGTGTACTAGTAAGGAGCCTCTACGCTCCAAGTATACTAGTAAGGAGCCTTCACGCTCCAAGTGTAATAGTAAGGGGCCTTCTCACTACAAGGGGTACGGCGTGATGAATATTAAGCCACCTAAGAGGTGGCACGGGCATGACTAGCCCGTAAGAGGAATACCATTGAGAGGCCACTATTGGTGGTCTCTCACCATTAGGGGCGTGGCTGTGCCAGGGTCAGCAGGGAGTAAGGTCGAAGTGGGAGGGTGTTGTGAGTGAAGTGCCTCGGGGCTCTGTCCTGTGCCCTCTGTTGTTCATGTTGTATATGAATGATTTAGGTTCGGGTTTGAGCAGCGGTGTTTGCGATTTTGCCAATGATACGAGGATCGGGAGTGAGATGAACACTGAAGGGGACTCACTGTCACTCCGGGACGATCTGAATAGGTTTTGGGGTGGTCAGGGGGTTGGCAGATGCGGTTTGTTGCTGGCAGGTGTGGGGTTTTAAGGCTGGGTGTTGGTGGCAGAGTTGCGGGGTGCGGGTCGGATGGTGTTGAGGTTGCGAAGTCGGATTGCCGGGGGCCGGGGATTTGGGAGGGACCTGAGTGAGTGCTGGTTCGGTGACAGGGTTGTTGATTAATGGAACCAGTTGACGCGTGACATGTTAAAAGTGGGATCCCTTGATTGTTGCAAGCGTGGGTTGGGCATGCATGTGAGATTAGGTGGATATAACTAGGAGCTTCCTCGTGTGGGCCGGTGGGCCTTATGCAGTTGTCTTCATTCTTGTTGTTGTTGTTTTAGATTCAGCTACTGGGAACAAAACGTTCCAAGTAGCACGGGCTATGGTGAGCCCGTAGTGGACTTACCTGGCAGAGGAGCGGGGCTGTAACTGTATCCTTCATTCTTGTGTTCATTATTGTATAAAGGTACCGGTGAGGTGTCTACACACTCCGCGGAGAACCAGTGAGGTGCATCCATATTCCTAAGGTGCCAACTTACAACATCCTCCCACTGTGAGTACACACCCCAGAAAATATACCATCTACAGAGAGTACCTCCACACAACAATGGCACCAGTGAGGTCCCTTGTACAAATAAACATTGATATGGTGATTACAACGTTGAAATTCAATTAAAGTTCATTACTTGCAGCCTTACATGTAAACATATCACGGACACACCTAATTATAAACCAGTCGTGAAAACTGTATTTGCCTACATACTTATCCACATGTTCATAATGACAGCAATATACTCAGTGGCCAATGATGGAAAGAAAGTCCTCTGGCTAAACCACTCCCGAAGAGCCTCGTGTGGGTCTGAGCTCCGCCCTTACACCTCTAGTCGAGGTTCCTAGAAGAACATACTCGTTATGGTGTTAAACTCGTTCCTGTTTCTTAGAAGTTGTCTCTACGAGGTCGAGAAATCTGTTTGACAGCGCAACCTGATTATGGAACCCATGACTTGGAAAAAAGAGAGAGAGAAAGAGAGAGAGAGAGAGAGCTACCTATGTTCTAACAAGCCCAATGATCTCTAAGATAAACATGTACCAGTATACAGTGGTAGGCTGAACAAAACAGTGTCACATATTTTGAACCACATATTAGGTTTAAAGAACCCAGCAAAAGAGTAAAGAGACACACACACACATAGATGAAGTCTGTTTACCCAAGTGCATTGGGGAAATGGAATTTCAGGAACCAGAACAAGAAAGAAAAGTTCAGCACTGTGAAGATATGGCTGATAAACTATATAAATAATTATCTAACACAATACAGAGTTATAAATCAAATCAGTATATAGATGTAATTTAAAAACTTTAGTTGTTAAAAAACAGATATAATCTCAATAAATTATCTCAATAAACCTCAATGATCTCAAAATAACCAATAAACGAGTCCTAAACAGACAAACATTGTCTAAATAAATTTAAATAAATAAAACAGATAGGCTACCTAGAGGCTGAGAAAGGCGCCGGTTAAGACAAAAAAAAAACGCTGTTGCAGTCTTTGGGGCAATACTGGGGTCGTGGTGACGTGTAAGAGCCCCCTTCCCATCTTCCCCCCTTTCCCCCCTCACCATTCCTACTTCCCCATCCTTCACCCACATCTCCTTCCCTCCTTTGTCTCCCTCCCTGTCCATACCTTCCCCCTTTTGCCCGTCAGTCTAATTCCTCCTCGCCCAACCTCCTCGTCGTCGTACCTCTTCCTCCTCGCCCTATCTCCTCTTCTTCCTAATTGACAATCTTGAATTCCCATTAGCTATGTAGAACGATTTCTTGGAAGACGGACCATGATAAGATGCGACACTGGTCTTCATTTCTCAGAAACTATAAAAAGCAGGAAATGCAAACTAGGGCCGGGGTCGCTGCCCTCTTGTTGTTAATATGCTGCTGGATACGGAACGAAATCGGTGAACTAAATAATTCAAAGAAATTATCAAACTCACAGTAATATAAGTAATGGAATATGGACTTGACATTCGATAGTTTCCAGCCATTTGACGTCTTGTCTTCGTCAAATGATTTACTAAATGTTATAGCTTGTTAGAACGCTATTAAGTAGAGTATTAAGATACTGACACTAAATTTACTGCTCCTGTTGATTTGTTTGTATTTAATTCATAGTTTGTTTGACCCTTCACAAACAAACTGTTGCATATTGCAACATGCAACTGTCGCTGTTGCAATAATAAAATAAATATTGAAACATTCATAACTACATATAGGAGATAACAACATCTTCAATAAATGTCGACAAGAAGATTTTCTTGGAAGGCTACACCCAGGACGAGAGGACAAGACTGGCTCCACCCAGACACTCACCAAGATAACGTTGTGACAGCTGCTGGTGTCTGGGGTACGCGACTGCAGGGCCAAGCACCCCGGTCCAATAGATCACCGTTGGGGGTACAACAAGCCGGTGCGGAGGCCAACAGGAGTATTATCCCCCCGACCCCTTCACTCTCCACTCAACACGTCTCCCTCTTTATCAGAAGGAAAACACTACCTGTGATTTGTCGTAGTAACTGGAACTACATAGGTAGGGAATATGGGTTACAACTGCGGTGCCAGGCATACTGTATTCCTGTCATTAATGCTGTCTAACCCAATGTAAAAGTTGCTTTGGTTCGGTGAAATTTTAAAGCACGCAAAAAGATACTCTTACTCGGGATATTTGGGTCACTTAAGATATCACGCTTCCTTAGAGGTCAAATCACTTCTAATTTCACGATTGATATCTCGTGATAACCATCCTAACAACCTGTCCTCAGGCTAAGGTCGCCCTGGTGCCGGTCAACCCTAATGATGTATTCGTTAATTTGAACATTCTCTGTATTCATTTTTTTTTTAGGTTTAAGGTAATATTAGACTAGATTGTGTGGAATAATTAAGGTTAATTTAGGTTAGATGTTTGGGTTCTGTTAACAGTTATTGTTATTTGCCAACCCGTCCTCACACCAGGCTGTTTAAAGCAGCGGCCGTCCTCCCCAGGTGCTTTCATAAATTTTATTATATTAAAAATTGGTTTCTTCACATATATAAATAATATTATTATACATAAAAATTGTATGGATAGTTAGGCGTAGGTTTGGTTAGGTTAGGTGTTTAGGTTCTGTTGAAGATTATTTGTATTAGAAGTACGTGGGTGAAGCATTTATATAATTGTGGTTCGAACAGAGGACGTGAGCGAAGCACTTGTTCCGGAAGTGTTCGGACGTCATCAGCTGTGAGTCGTGTGTAAACCGCTTTTCACTCATAAACACGGAGTTTGGCGCCTGGATTAACAAGCTTGGATCTTTGTATACAAAGACGGGCTGTATTTGCAGTACGTGGATGAAGCATATATGACAGCCCGTCTTCCACACAAAGACTCAAAAGTGATTCCATGCACCCGCCCAACTCATCCTCGACACAAGTCCATTACATCCAGCGGTCGACCCCACAGACGCATTCATAGATTTTAACATGCTGTTCATTCAAAAAGGGAATTTTCTCATATATAAATTAATGTTATAATATATTAGCTTATTGTGCATATATAGGCATAAGTTAGGTTAGGTGTTTAGGTTGTGTTGGGGATTATTTGTATTTGGGTGAAAATTGTATTTGGCGTGGGTGAAGCATTTACAGCGTTGTGGTTCGAACAAAATTCGTCAGTGAAACATTTGTTCTGGAAGTGTTCGAACGTCATCATTTGTGAGTTGTGTGTAAACTGTTTATCATTCATAAACAGGGGCTTTGGCAGGTGCATGGAATCACTTTTGGGTCTTTGTTTGGAGGACGGGCTGCACCCACCAAACCTCCTGTTTATTGATGAAAAACGGTTTACACACGACTCACAACCGATCACGTCCGAACACTTCCGGAACAAGTGCTTCGCTCACGTCCTTTGTTCGAACCACAACACTGTAAATGCTTCACCCACGTACTACAAATACAAATAATTGCCAACAGAACCTAAACACCTAACCTAACCTATGCCTATATATGCACAACATGCTTATATATTATAAAATTAATTTATATTTGAGAAATTTCCCGTTTTCAGTGAACAGCATGTTAAAATTTATGAAAAAAGTTACTACTTGGAACAAAAAGTTCCAAGTAGGACGGGCTATGGTGAGTCCGTAGTGCACTTACCTGTTACAGGAGCGGGACTGTGCAGCATACCTTGCAGCTCATGCACCATGATATCACATCTCACCTGTTTACAATTGTGTGCTATTATTGTCTTGTGTGTGTGTGTGTGTGTGAAGCCTGACTTGTTACCGCGGATACGCGAAGGACCTCTTTTAACTTGAGTGATCTTCAGTAATCTCAGGAAATATAACCTTTCTGAATCTTTCCAATCTTTAGACTTGCAAAATTCAACATTCAGTAACGTGAGTTAAAATACGATCATTGTTATAATCCATTTAGACTCAAGAAGGCCTTTAGGTAAGACCGGCAATACTTTCCACACACATGCGCCCTCCTTCATCTCTATGCAACAACTATCAGGTATGTTAAACTAAACCATCACATCCATCTTTCCGCGTGACGTTTCCATCCCGATGGTACCAATTATAGACCTGTTTAATCACCATCCAGCACATGCTCTGGCCCATGCAATTATCTTCTGACATGCCTTGCAGCATTTTCTTGACTTCTCTTTATTTGCAGTTAAATAAAGGAAAATATGTGCTGCGTAATTTTATGGCTGGAAGAAGCCGCTCTTATGTGTAAAAATATCATTTTTCTTGTATAATATATAATAAAAACTGTCTTATATAATATATATATTGACTAAAAGGTAATAAAAATAAGTATATGCTAATAATAATAAGAAGAATAAAAATGGCAGATCACAACTGGATTGTGATCACAACAGGACCATTGGATTCCCAGTGTAGCAGCGTACCACACCAGCCTCCTGCAGCCCCTTGTACACCTGCTGCAGCTCCTTGTACACCAGTTGCAACCCCTTGTACACCAGTTGCAACCCCTTGTACACCAGTTGCAAACCTCTTGTACACCTGTTACAGTCCCTTGTACACCAGTTGCAAACCTCTTGTACACCTGTTACAGTCCCTTGTACACCAGTTGCAACCCCTTGTACACCAGTTGCAAACCTCTTGTACACCAGTTGCAGTCCCTTGTACACCAGTTGCAACCCCTTGTATACCAGTTGCAAACCTCTTGTACACCTGTTGCAGTCCCTTGTACACCAGTTGCAAACCTCTTGTACACCAGTTGCAACCCCTTGTACACCAGTTGCAGCCCCTTGTACACCTGTTGTAGCCCCTTGTACACCTGTTGCAGTCTCTTGTGCACCTATTGTAGCCCGCTTGTACATATGTTGCAGGCCTTCTTACATCTATTGCAGCCCCCTTGTACACTTGTTGCAGCCAATTGTACACATGTTACAGCTCCTTGTACACCAGTTGCAGCCCCTTGTACACCTCATGCATCACACAGTCTACAAAACCTTGTACACATTAGCTACAGTAATCTTACAGGCAGAACGAGAATTACAGATACAACAACTGATTAGAGATAAGTCCCCCATACAGTTAGAGAAATCAATAATCCCTCGTTGCACCGACATACAGAAAGAAGTATACCTTCCTGGAATAACAATCAGGCAACAATGTGTATAATTATCTGCCTTGAGAATGAGTTTAATTTTGGGGCGCTCGATGCCTAATATTTATTGAGACATCCAACAATGATTACCGTCCATAAAAGTGCCTAGTACCCAGCTATTGAGGAGAGAAGAAACACCCTTAGCTACTCTATCCCTTTGGAATCTATTTTATTATCTGAAAAAGCTTACTTGGACCTGATACTCGTGTATTTATGTATTGCTACCGTGGTGGAGCGTCAGGGGTGATTAGTCATTAATGCTGTAACCGTAGTAAGTTATTATTTAGTTAATAGTGAACATCATGCACCAGTTTAGAGCATAAATACTGATATTTTTTTAATCATCCTGCTTGACTGACCTATGTGATCTGGTTACATATAGTACGGTAGGTAATATATGGCCTGTCGTAAGGGTCGTTGTTTTGGGATGTCCTTTTCAATTTATTGTTATCTCTAAATGTAGTTGTTATACTTTTTTTGTTTATTTCGTGTACGCTGCATAGTGCAAATAATATATTTATCTAGTACATACCCACACTATTGATACCCACATTACTGCTACCCCACACTGTTGCTACCCACATTGTTGAAGGCAACACAGCTATCACCCACACTGCTGCTACCCACATTGTTGAAGGCAACACAGCTATCACCCACACTGCTGCTACCCACATTGTTGAAGGCAACACAGCTATCACCCACACTGCTGCTACCCACATTGTTGAAGGCAACACAGCTATCACCCACACTGCTGCTACCCACATTGTTGAAGGCAACACAGCTATCACCCACACTGCTGCTACCCACATTGTTGAAGGCAACACAGCTATCACCCACACTGCTGCTACCCACATTGTTGAAGGCAACACAGCTATCACCCACACTGCTGCTACCCACATTGTTGAAGGCAACACAGCTATCACCCACACTGCTGCTGCTAATAACGTTGTAACTGCTTCACGTAGACTCAATACTCCGATCTGTGCCCAAACATTCTGTCTGTCTGCACATTTTAGTACACCTATAACGAGTACCCAGCGAACTCGACTCAGCAGGGAGTTGAAAGGTAGGTTTTTGCGCCCATTCCCATAATCCTGACCGGCCTTACTCACTAATTTGCGGAGCATCAATATTCATTTAAACTTATGCAAATGGAGATAACAAATTCATATTTTAAAGCTTATTGTTGATATTGAAAGTGTGGTCTTCACGCTCATCACAGCTCACTGGTACACCAACACATCATCATAGCTTGGTGAAACAGAAGGATTGTTTCTTCGAACGCAGCTAAAATAATTAGAATGCTTTATAATACTATATTGAAGAATGAGGAACGAACTATCAGAGCATTCAGGAACGTAAGGAACGAACCAGCCGAGTATACAGCAATATAAGGGACGAACCATCAGAGTATACAAGATCATAAGGAACGAACCATCAGAGAATACAGAAACAAGGAAAGAAACATCAGAGTATACAACAGGAACATAAGGAACGCACCCCGAGACTATACTCTACAGAAAGTTTTCACTATCTCTGCTCGTCTACCCAACTAACAAGACCTGGTAACTAAGGTTGTGCAAATATGAACTTGACTTTCAGTCTCTTAGAATGAAGCAAAACAAGTAGCTTGAGAGATTAAATTAGTTGCTTGCCCAGTTGGGTGGGTGTGCAGCAAGACTAGTAACTGTGTGACTCACTATAGATGTAAAGTGCCTCGTATAGTGACTGGTGTGAGCCTCTTGTAATGTCACTTGTGACACCTCTTTGTGTCACTTGTGACAGAAAGATTATTGATGTGTGTAATTGTGTGAAAGATTATTGATGTGTGTAATATATATATATATATATATATATATATATATATATATATATATATATATATATATATATATATGTACATGTATGTATGAGGGTGTGTACATGTGTATACAACATTGATAATTCTGTAACTAGCGTCAAACATTGTTATTTGCTTAGCTAAACGAACTAGAGGGTTCAGTTCCTGAACCGATTATGTGCCTCTGTAATCCTTTACACCACCGCCCACGGGATGGGTATGGGGTGCATAATAAAGAAAGAAATTGAATTGAATTGTGAAATTGTCTGAAATATTGTGCTATCAGAGGAAGCTGCATGTTATAATATGATGGAAATGGTTGACGTGGTCATCATGTACAGATTTCTTGGGAATCAGAAGTAGGTCACCATTTCTTATATTAAAGATTAACATAATGATTGAGGATTTATTTTCATGATCATTACTTATTTCTTAACTTACATGTTAAAAATGGATTTTTCCTTGTATATGTATATTATATACAATATATTTATATATATAGATATATATAATTGCGCTATCATGTATGTACACGGTCAATATCACTTTCAGTCAAATATAATCATTTGATCTCTAGTGCTACTCACGCCTCCAACTCTCTCGCTTCCCTATCAGCTTCTTATACCGATATTTAACCCACTTACGTGAAGTTATCAGTAAATCAGAGAAGTTAATGCTTTAGAGAGTTTTTTGAACATCATAGTTACACGACGTTCCTTGGACGGTCTTAATGAAGCGGGAAGTGTCAACATTGATGCTCTTGAAGGCAGCTTCACACCGCTTCACGAACTTGTCAGCTAGGCTGGGAGAGCGGGTGAAGATGAAGGCAAAGTCGGAGTAATAACCAAAGTTGTAGCTGTGGCAGGAGTACAAGCAGGCGAAGTTGGTGTAGTCCGTGTCCAGGATCACGTACGGGGCGGCCCAGGCTGACGGGAGGAAACACATTGTACAACACATAGTAACTTCACTAGCACTTTACCATACATGAGCATATAAGATCACGATGTATTTATATATAAATATAGCAAATAATTCATTATTTTTCAGTATTATATTAGCAATAAACTATTAACAATTCCCGTATATAACGGCTACTCTCTGACATGACTGAGATCAGGAGCTGCTGCTGCTACTTACAGTTCTCGTAGTCGACGGTGAGATGAGGTTCACCGAGGGGGTTGGGGTACACCTTCCCGTTGCGCTTCAACAGGCTGCCGTCAGCAGTCACGCCCGTTGATGTTATATCAAACTGACTTCCATCTGTAACAAATAAATTAGCATTAAATTATTTGTCAGGACTAATAACAGCTATTTAGTAGCGAAGATTATTATGACAGATGTATTTTGTTTAGGCAAGTGGTAAGATAACGTAACAGTTCTTACCAAAGGAGTAATCGTTCCTGACGCATTTGTCAATCAGCTGGTAGGGGTTGTTGGTGAGAGCGAACTGATACCAGACGCCCGCATACTGCAAAGAAATAACATTTTTAAGCAAGCAATCGTTCAGTGCACGGTCGATATATTAATTTAGTATTAATTCTATTTATTGTGTTTATGTGACATAAAATGTTAATATATATATAGAAACCTAAGGAACAATTAGTACTTTTAAAATGTATAATGAACACGTTTTGTTCATCTTAAAAATGTGAACTTGAGTAATTATTACACAGACATGAACCGCTTTTCAGTCAGTTCTCGAAACTCACGTTGGCATGGTTAGGTTTCTGTTCGGTCCACAACTTGCTCTCGTCGACGGTAGGACACTGGCCGGGGACCACGAAGTCCGGGATCTTGTCAGCAGCGACGGCGGCCACGAGGACCAGCAGGATGGCCAGCGAGTTCATGGTGCGAGGCAGAAGCGGCTTCTGAATGTTAACTGGAGGGAGGTGCGCCCTTTATATGAGGTTGGCCAGAGGGCTGCCACCCCTCTCCTCATCCTTACCCCACCTCCCCAACACAGTCTCTAGGGATGCCCATAATTATTTTTGTTTACTTCTCAGTCACGTATAATTGTACTACAATTTTACTATACTATATATGCAACCTAGACGTTCATAGTTAAGCTACGAAAATAGTTTGACTTATAGTAACAAAAGTTTCATCTAATTCTATTACAAGTCGAAGGTGGCATGCAGTTCATGGTGTATGTTTTTTTTGTTGCTACCCCATGTGGGCTGCGCATATATAAGCAAGAAGAGAATCTTACCAGCATCAGTCTCAGTCAAGCACGCATTATGTTCACAGCTTTCCTCACTGCCGCCCTCGTGGCCTGTGTTGCCGCCGACGGTATTCCAAGCTTCGTCTCTCCTGGAAAATGTGCCTCAGTTGCCAACCAGGACAACTTCGACCTCAGGAAGGTGTGTATTGAAGGTTTTAAGAAACAACAACTTGCGAAAAAGCCAGTATATAATTTTCCCCTGTAATATATAAAGATACCATGCTCATGTGCTATGAACATTTTCTCTGCAGTACGCTGGCCGCTGGTACCAGACTCACATCATCGAGAACCCTTACCAGCCGGTGACTCGATGCATCCACTCCAACTATGACTATTCCGATAGTGACTTCGGCTTCAAGGTGACCACCGCCGGCCTAAACCCAAAGGGAGAATATCTTAAGATTGACTTTAAGATCTACCCAACAAAGGAGTTCCCAGCCGCTCACATGCTCATTGATGCTCCTTCAGGTAAGATTTTGATAAATGACTAACTTCATTATACCATAAATGATGACTAGGTGTATATAAATACATATAAATATATTACTCGCGAGGTCGATGGTTCCAGGGTCGAGCAGAGCCTTCATAATCATTGGTTATTGAATCCAATTAATTTATTTCCTTATGTTGCATGTGATTGCTTGGAGACTGTTAATGATTGTTTGCAAGGATATTTTTTAAGAATTATTACAACAAAATTTCAAAATATTAATGCAGCATTTTTGCTTCTCCAGTGTTCGCCTCGCCGTATGAGGTCATCGAGACTGACTACGACACCTACTCCTGCGTCTACTCCTGCGTCACCACCGACAACTACAAGTCGGAGTTCGGCTTCGTGTACTCCCGTACCCCCCAGACCTCAGGACCCGCCGTCGAGAAGTGTGCTGCTGTCTTCAAGAAGAACGGTGTCGAGTTCTCAAAGTTCGTGCCTGTCCAGCAGACGGCTGAGTGCGTCTACAGAGCTTAAGTCTCTCTGAAATATTAAAATGATCTAAAATGGATTAGTCCATCATTCGCTTTTAAATTCCATCATGTTAAGTGCGTCACCCTGACTTGACTTTGACGCAATTCGTCTTTGCATGTCTAAAAGTGGATTGTTCTATCTACATATTTGTGAGTGAAACTGAGGAACACTTGTAGACCTTTATAACACAATACCCAATAAAGGCCTACACAATACAATAATGTGTTGTGTAGGCCTTTTTTATTGAATACAAATATAAATGCATATTTGTTATATTAAAAATGGTTGTAAATCACACTTGAGGGATAAGCTTTAGCGTCACGACGGGTGATGAAGCAGGAACATTAAGTTCTATGGAACTTTGTGAATGTGAACCAAAAGTGGTGACTTGTCTTTTTAATCTTAACTTACAGTATGTATAAAACATGTATATGTGTATATAGAATATATAAATATTAATTGCGCTATCATTATAGTATGTATGTGAACAATAAATAAAATGTGACAAAAATTTGATTTAATGTTTTCATCCCCGACATAAATCATTGTTAAGAGTATACATTTTTCAACATATTCCCTTTGTACATTACGCTAATACATGTAGTCTTGTACTGCTCAGTTTGTTAATAAAGGAAATCTTGCATTGCAAATTAATACATGCAAATGAAGTCGTACATTTAAAACTGATTCCAGACTACATGATAATGTAATGTTCTCTATATATTTTATTTGTAATTAATTTTACCACAAATTCTACCAGTAATGTCTTAATTAATCTATACTAACATACGCAGTTTTGTTTATATATTAAATAATAGTAATTTAACTTTTGGTTTTCCCGAAATTTAATAAGCGGTAATAAACTTAATTCTGTAAAAGCTGATAGACTCTTCGTGTACTGAATTCGACGATCCTATTAAAGGAACTATGAAATATCAGTAAAACTGGATAATTATCAGCCCGTGTGTTAACAATAGCTGCAGAATGGTGAGTTTTGACAGGAGTTCAGGTGTTACAGCAGTAGCGTTTGTGAGAGCAATGGGCAGTTATGGCAGTTATGGTGCTTAGGTAATTTGCAGCTGCAGTAGAAATAGTCAGTTCTGACAACATACCCCCTTCTTCCTCATATTTACCACCGCCTCTCCACCTCTTCCCTCTCAACTCCCCCATTTTTCTTCCTAATCCCCACTCCCACCCCCCCCCCTCTCTCCACCCTAATCCCCATCTGTCCATAAAAGCGAATAGTCACTAGAAGGACGCGCCAACACAACCATTAGTAACGACATGGACACACCATCACAGTCAACAGTAACGAGATGGACGCACCATCACAGTCAACAGTAACGAGATGGACCCACCATCACAGCCGAGGTAACTTAAAACCACACTCCTTATCATGAACACCTGATCTAAATTATCTACCATTGTAAAGTTGACTGGCTACATATTGAAGGACTAAAAAAGGTAAGTCAATAATGCTATCGAGGTTCCAACACTCCTTTAAAGGAAGTTATCAAGGAAGTTATCAAAGACTTATCATGGAAGCTGTTCTCTCTAAACCAACAAAGCGCCGACCATTATAAGAAGCAGTGGAGGTCTTTTGCCATTACGGTGCTCTGCCCCTTTTTAATTGAGTGTTCCAGTGTACCAGCAGCTCCCCTCCCTACCTCCAGGCGGGGCAAGTTGCTGGTTTTATGTTACAACTCTCCTCTTCTTGTAAACGGTATCCGTTATTTTTGCTACTTTTTGTCGCATTTATCTCTGTTTATTTACAAGCTCTTGTAATTAGTATTCTCAGTTTGTTACATCCCTATGAGCCGGTTTTAAAGTGTTTCAATTACTTAGATTTCATGTTTCGAATCACTCTCTATCTTTTTACCCACTGTGAACCTTGTATGCACGCGATCTTTACATACACTTATTCGTTATCATTTATTTATGTATAAAATACAATATATTACTCGTCAACTCCTTTATCTTTCTCTGTCCCTCCTCCTCTTACTTATTTTCTGCTCCTCTTCCTCTTTCCTCCCTTCTCTACACTTCTCTTAGTTTCCCCATCTTGAGTCCTTTTCTCTTTCTTTGTCTTTGTTCCTTTGTCTGTGAATTATATTTTTGTTTCCATAAATTTATCACATCCGTTGTGTTTAGGACATAACAAATCTAATTTAAAATTGTCTGAATATTAAATCTGAATACTAAATGAAAACTTGTTGATCAATTCAATAGACAGTTTAAAATCTAAAGGCATCTGACAAGTAGTATTAATCTTAAATAATGAAATAACCTTAAATATTGCTGTCAGTGAGATCTTTGTGCTATACACTTTTCTCATGTATCTTTTTACCACGCTATGTCACATCTAAAGAACATATAAAAGGCCACTAAATATCATCAAAATGTTTAAAGATTTATTTGTATAACTTATTTCGAGGCTTAGAGTTTATTTCAGGGTTAACATGTGCATGAATTTTATATACGATACATATATATATATATACTGCGCTATCAGGTATGTACACGGTCAATATCACTTTTAGCCAAACATAATCATTTGATCTCTAATGATACTCACGTCTCAGTGTCTGGCTTTCCTGTGAGCATCTTTCGCTGATATTTAACTCATTTCGTGGAAAGTTATCAGCAAACCAGAGAGGTTAATATTTTTAGAGAGTTTTTTGAACATCATAGTTACACGACGTTCCTTGGACGGTCTTAATGAAGCGGGAAGTGTCAACATTGATGCTCTTGAAGGCAGCTTCACACCGCTTCACGAACTTGTCAGCTAGGCTGGGAGAGCGGGTGAAGATGAAGGCAAAGTCGGAGTAATAACCAAAGTTGTAGCTGTGGCAGGAGTACAAGCAGGCGAAGTTGGTGTAGTCCGTGTCCAGGATCACGTACGGGGCGGCCCAGGCTGACGGGAGGAAACACATTGTACAACACATAGTAACTTCACTAGCACTCTACCATACATGAGCATATAATATCATGATGTATTTATATATAAATATAGCAAAAATTCATTATTTTTCAGTATTAGATTAGCAATAAACTATTAACAATTCCCGTATATAACGGCTACTCTCTGACATGACTAAGATCAGGAGCTGCTGCTGCTACTTACAGTTCTCGTAGTCGACGGTGAGATGAGGTTCACCGAGGGGGTTGGGGTACACCTTCCCGTTGCGCTTCAACAGGCTGCCGTCAGCAGTCACGCCCGTTGATGTTATATCAAACTGACTTCCATCTGTAACAAATACATTAGCATTAAATTATTTGTCAGGACTAATAACAACTATTTAGTAGCGAAGATTATTATGACATAGATGTATTTTGTTTAGGCAAGTGGTAAGATAACGAAACAGTTCTTACCGAAGGAGTAATCGTTCCTGACGCATTTGTCAATCAGCTGGTAGGGGTTGTTGGTGAGAGCGAACTGATACCAGACGCCCGCATACTGCAAAAGAAATACCATGTTGCTTATGTTGAAAGGGACCAATGTTTTCTTCACAACTCGTAAGCGTATTATGTATTATTATATTGTATTTTGTATTGTGTATGTGACATGATATTTTAAAATATAGGAACAGGTCTCCATAGGCAACAATTACTACTTTAAAAATGTAAAATGAACACGTTTTGTTCATCCTAAAGATGTGAACTCGAGTATTATTACACAGACATGAACCGCTTGTCAGTCAGTTCCCAAAACTTACGTTGGCATGGTTAGGTTTCTGTTCGGTCCACAACTTGCTCTCGTCGACGGCAGGACACTGGCCGGGGACCACGAAGTCCGGGATCTTGTCAGCAGCGACGGCGGCCACGAGGACCAGCAGGATGGCCAGCGAGTTCATGGTGCGAGGCAGAAGCGGCTTCTAAGTGTTTACTGGAGGGAGGTGCACCCTTTATATGAGGTTGGCCAGAGGGCTGTTCTCCACCCCCCCCCCCCCCCTGAGCTAGTCATGTCCCCCTTCCTCACCGCCTCTGAAGATGCCCAAAATTCATAAAATAATTTTTGTTTACTACTCAATCTTGTTTACTTATACATGTAATTTTACCAAATATTATTTACAACAAAGTAGTACATAGTTACAATGAATAATGACAGACATATAATTAAAACACTTTGGTATAATTCAGTTACAAGACGTACTTGGCATGCGCTCATGATTTTTTTTTTGTTGAGGATGCAGGCAGCGCTTATATAAGCAAGGACAGTAACCCCCACCAACATCAGTCTCCGCCATCCGCTCACAATGTTCACAACGGTCCTCACTGCCGCCCTCGTGGCCTGTGTTGCCGCCGACGGTATTCCAAGCTTCGTCTCTCCTGGTCAATGTGCCTCAGTTGCCAACCAGGACAACTTCGACCTCAGGAAGGTGTGTATTGATGGTTTTTAAAATCAACAACTTGCGAAAAAGCCAGTATATAATTTTCCTCTGTAATATATAAAGATACCATGCTCATGTGCTATGAACATTTTCTCTGCAGTACGCTGGCCGTTGGTACCAGACCCACATCATCGAGAACCCTTACCAGCCGGTGACTCGATGCATCCACTCCAACTATGACTATTCCGATAGTGACTACGGCTTCAAGGTGACCACCGCCGGCTTCAACCCGAAGGGAGAATATCTGAAGATTGACTTCAAGATCTACCCAACAAAGGAGTTCCCAGCCGCTCACATGCTCATTGATGCTCCTTCAGGTAAGTCTTGCCCACATGCTCATTGATGCTCCCTCGGGTAAGTCTTGCCCACATGCTCATTGATGCTCCCTTTTTTAAATCTGTGTGTATAAGTTCTCAAACATAATTTATTAATTTCTGTGTTATTCCTTGTACTTGAAAATTAACACACACGTGGGGGCCCTCGCCGCTGAGTGGATAGCGCTCGTGGGTCGTAGTCCTAAGGGCCTGGGTTCGATTCCTGGCCGAGGCAGAAACAAATTTCTGAGTGGCTGAGTTTCTTTCACCCTGACGCTCCAGTTCATTTTGCAGTAAATAGGTACCTGGGAGATAGATAGCTGTTACGGGCTGCTTTCTTGGAATATGTGTGTGTCTGTGAAGGCACCTAGTTGTACTCACCTAGTGGTGCTTGCGGAGATTGAGCTCTGGCTCTCTGGGGCTCGCCTCCCAACTGTCAATCAACCTGTGAACAGATTCCTGAGCCTACTGGGCTCTATCTATCATCTGTGTGTGTGTGTGTGTACTCACCTAGTTGTGCTTGTGGGGGTTGAGGTCTGGCTCTTTGGGCCCGCCTCTCAACTGTCAATCAACCTGTGTACAGATTCCTGAGCATACTGGACTCTATCCTATCTCCATTTGAAACTCTGTATGGAGTCAGCCTCCACCAAATCACTGCCAAATGCATTCCATCTGTTAACTACTCTGACACTGAAAAAGTTCTTTCTAACGACCCTGTAGCTCATTTGAGTACTCAATTTCCATCTGTGTCCCCTTGTTCGCGTACCTCCCGTGTTAAACAGTTTATTGTGTGTGTGTGTGTGTTAGGAATATATGAAGTAGATATAAAAGAGAAAAATATGTTGGTTAGAGAGGCGGGGTCCAAGAGCTAATAGCTCGATTCTGCAGGCTCAAATAGTAAATATATAAATGCACACAAACACACACTGGAGCTAAACCTTTCGTAGTTAAGCTCTTGACCAAAGAACCAGAGCTTAACCCCCGCAAGTACAACTGGAGTTCAACACGAGGAAGTGAAAAAGTTATGGAAATGGGACTAGGTGACAGGAGACCAAGGGGACAGTACACAATGAAGGGAAACTACCTATCTGTTACGATACGAGCAAGGGACCTGTGAGTGGACGTAACTAATTTCTGAGGTACATATATATTGTATAGCGACAGTAGCGTTCTCTACGTTAGCAAACGTTAGAACGTCATTTAGAAACCTAAGTAAGGAGGCATTTAGAGACTTTACAGATAGATAGATAGAGATAGATTATATGCGAAGGGAAGGCTATATTTTAAAACGTTTTCTTTAATCCCACCTTTTCCCCAGTGTTCGCCTCGCCGTATGAGGTTATCGAGACTGACTACGACACCTACTCCTGCGTCTACTCCTGCGTCACCACCGACAACTATAAGTCAGAGTTCGGCTTCGTGTACTCCCGTACCCCCCAGACCTCAGGACCCGCCGTCGAGAAGTGTGCCGCTGTCTTCAAGAAGAACGGTGTCGAGTTCTCAAAGTTCGTGCCTGTCCAACAGACGGCTGAGTGCGTCTACAGAGCTTAAGTCTCTCATATTTCCTAAAATAATTTAATTATTCGAGACTTTATCTCGTTTATAATTTCCATGTTATCAAGAGCGCCATTTAGGTCTATTGATAACAACAACAAAGTACCAAACGTCTATTCAACTTGAGCATCACAGATGGCGAAAACGTAAGCTTAAACACTTCGTTTGACAACAACATTACCTTCACGAAATGGCCATAATATTAGCCTCAGCACCATTACTCGTAGCCACAGCATATGCTACAGCACCATCAAGAGTAGACATATAATAAACTCCAACATCATCTAAGGTAGCCACAGCATATGCTACAGCACCATCAAGAGTAGACATATAATAAACTCCAACATCATCTAAGGTAGCCACAGCATATGCTACAGCACCATCAAGAGTAGACATATAATAAACTCCAACATCATCTAAGGTAGACATACCATGAGCTACAGCACCATCACGATTTGCCTAAAATTAAATACATCACCATCATGCAGGACCGCAACATAACCTTCAACATCAAGATGCAGGTCACAATATATGCTGCAACATCCATCACCAAGCATCACTATCTAGGGTTAATTGTTTTTTGAAATATTTATGTTTTGTATATGTGTATATAGTATTTAGCGATATGTATAAATATAAGTTGCGCTATCATGAATGTATGTGAACAATGAATAAAATGTTAAAATAATTTAAATGCAAACAAATATTACACTCTCCTGACACATATTAATAATAGCTTAAGATCATCATCATCTCAATGCATACTGAAATTCATTTTAGTTCTTTCTGAACCCCAAACTCCTCATCATCTGGGAAGTTTTGTAAAGATTTCAGCGTTACATAATAGGTTTAAGAACTGAATCTGAATGTTCTCTGAGCTACGAAATCTGCATTTGTATTAAACTAATTTCATTCGATTTGTAAATGCTTAGCTATTCCCACAAACCATTCAGTAGAAGACAGTGGACAGCCTACAGTCACATGTTAAATTCAGAAAGAGTATGCATTTCTGCCGTAGTTAAATGTTGTGATAGCTCACAGTATTCGGTAATACATTGCTTTTAGTAAAGTATTTGGGATATATATATATATATATATATATATATATATATATATATATATATATATAAACATATAGACATATTCATTCGCATATAGTCCTGGGGACCATTCAGGCTTGTTCGCATATAAACATATATATATATATATATATATATATATATATATATATATATATATATATATATATATATATATATATATATATATATATATATAGTGCTGTGTGAATGTCCTGGGAAGGTGCAGGAGTGGCGGAAGGTGCCTAGAGTGGACCATCTCAACAAAAACGGATAAAAACAGGTGGGTGTGCAGTGTATGGAATACAACGACAGTGAGGGCCACGCTGGCGCCCTCTAGGCCTCCCAGGCTAAGGTGTGGGGGAGGAGGGGGTGTTGTTGTTCGGTCGGGCGAGGGGGGGTCACCCATGTGCCACCCAGTGTTTATAGAAATACGTTTGGGAAAGAAAAACGAAAATAAAAATCAGCAATCATGGTCAGAGCTAATAGAGCTCACAGTGTGTCGGATTACAAGTGTATGATTCATTCACCATTGTGCAGTGATATACAAGAAAATTATACCAGTGTTTAAGTGTCACCCAGTCCCCCCCCCCCCCCTCAAGCTGAGCGAGGCACGGTCAACCCCCACCTCCTCCCCGCCCGCCGGCCTGACCGCACCACAGTACCTCCTGCCATCCCACCACCCAGCCCACTCTGCACCTGGGTGTCTCCCACCCACCTATTCACCGCCCTCACTGTGCTTGTTGCAGGGATGTGCTACCCTCCATGCACCCAGATATGGCACAGGTCACAGCAGGCATTCAGGTTCCTCCCAAAAGGGAGGGAGACACAAGTACTCATAGGAGTGGTGAGTGTGAGGGACAGCTAGCCACCCCTCCTGCCACCACCCGTGTCCACCCCTGTCATCCCTCCCACGCCGGCCGCCCGGGGGATGGAGGGGACTCCACCAACTAGCCAGGAACCCCTCAGCCAAGAACAGGGTCCTGGGAACAGTGCACCCAGACGTGCAACCAGAGGACCCAGACCCAGAGGAACGTGTCGGGTTTGTGACGAATCACACAGCCTTAGAAACGATGGAACCCTACGTCAACACAACGGCTGTGAGGGTTCATGGACGGAACCTGTAGAGAGAGAAGGCCCACAGGTCCCCCCGGCACCCCCACACATCCCAGCAAACTTCATATCATCAGATGACCTCCTGGGGGCCATCAAAGCATCCACCACCAGAACTCTTCCCCACATTCCTAAAGCAGCGCGCCCATTTGCAGCAGGGAAATATACAGACCTTTTAAGGAAAGTAAATGAACGGTCTGAAAATCTTAATGCTGCAGCCACCATCAAAGCATGGCATAATTTGCTCCTGTTTGGCAATATTTGCTTAGGCGTACCTGCAAGAGGAGGCAAGTCGCTAGCCTCATCAGTCACTAGGGCAATAAATAATTTCCCCAGAGCTGACAACTTGATCCCCATCCCTCCTCAACGCAAAAACCGTCGTGGCAGACCCAAGAGTTCCAATGACAATTTTAAACTAGGAACACAAGTGACCAAAAAAATTGAAGAGGGCAACACAGTAGGGGCAATTAGGTTACTTACCAGTGAAGACACAATCGCCCCTAGAAATACCGCTACCGCCAACTCGCTGAGAGAGAAGCACCCTCCTAGAGTACCATGGGAACCCACTGCTCAGGACACAAATGTCCCAGACATGGGACCTCTATTCCTCCAAGCGTCAGAGGTATACAAAGCCATCATGTCATTTCCGCCAGGCTCGGCAGGGGGATACACTGGAGTAAGACCTCAGCACCTCAAGGAGATGGTAAACCCAGTTCTCGGAGAAGTTGCCGAGACACTATTGTCAGAGGTCACGAAGTTTGTCAACGACTGCCTCTCTGGGTTGATCCCAGATACAATTAAACCCTTTTTCTTTGGAGCATCCCTTTGTGCCCTCAAGAAGAAAGATGGTGGAGTCAGACCCATTGCCGTGGGTAACACACTTCGGCGCCTTGTTGCTAGGGCAGCTGTCAGAAAAATTAGCATAGACGCTGCGACGATGCTTCGACCCCATCAACTAGGTTTTGGTGTCCCCCATGGCTGTGAAGCAGCAGCTCATGCAGCACGAGCCTATATCAAGCACCTCCCAGAAAATAAGGCATTAATTAAATTAGACTTTAAAAATGCCTTCAACCAGGTAAAAAGGGATGTGGTACTGGAAGCAGTTCGAACAAGCTTTCCTTCTCTACTCCCCTTCGTCTCAGCAGGGTACAGTAGGGAATCGACGCTGCTGTTTGGGGAACATGAAGTTGTTTCTGCAGAAGGTGTCCAGCAGGGAGACCCACTTGCCCCTTTTCTTTTTTGCATGGCTGTTAAAGAGGTCACAAGCAGGTTGACCAGCGAACTCAACATCTGGTTCCTGGACGATGGCACCCTGGCAGGGACACAGGAGTCCCTGCTAGAAGATCTACAGCTAGTGAAATCTAAGGGAGAGGAGTTAGGACTCACCCTAAACCCATTAAAGTGTGAAATCATCTCATCTAGCCAACCAACCATAGATGCAGTGCGAACCATATTGCCAGGAGCCCAAGTGATCGCTCCCACCGACAGTGTGCTGCTAGGGGCACCTCTGGGCTCGAGCGCCATTGAGGTAGTCCTCGAAGAAAAGCTGAACGACCTGAGGAGGATGGAGGGAAGAATAGGGGCTTTGGACGCCCACGATGCTTTGTACCTTCTCACAAGGTGCCTGGCTTTGCCCAGACTGACCTATTTCCTAAGGTGTGCTCCCTCCTTCGACAGCCCAAAATTAACAGAATATGACACACTCCTAAGGTCAATAACCGTGAAAGTGTTAAACCTCTCCCTGCAAGATGACCAATGGGATCAAGCAACGCTCCCAGTTAGACTCGGGGGAATAGGTATTCGCAAGGCGACACAGTTAGCATTGCCAGCATTCTTATCCTCGACCAGTGCAACAGGTGAATTAGTTAAGGAAATACTACCGGAACACCTAAGAGACTCCATTGGGATTCATGATCCCAAATTCGCGGAAGGAGCCGGTCAGTGGGACACTCTCGTCAACTCTCATCCTCGACCGACTTTTCCAAATGACTGCAAACAGTCCAAATGGGATAGCCCCATAGTGGAGAACATCGCCACATCATTGCTGGAGGCAGCTTCCAGGAAGGACAAAGCGCGTCTTCTAGCTGTGCAAGCGCCCCATGCCGGGGACTTCCTGTTGGCAGTCCCTAATTCCGCCTTGGGCACCCGCCTGGACCATCGGACCCTAAGTATTGGTGTTGCTCTGCGCCTTGCCGCCCCTATCTCCACCGAGCACCGGTGTATTTGCGGCCATGCACGGGCAGACCAATACGGCAGCCATGGTCTCATCTGTCGTAAGACACAGGGAAAGATTGCCAGACATGAAGCAGTCAATGACATCATCAAGAGAAGTTTGGCTACAGCTGGGTGTCCAGCACAAAGGGAACCTCAGTTGTGCAGACCTGACAACAGCCAAAAACGCCCAGATGGAGTCACCCTGCAGCCGTGGAGGGAAGGTAAACAGGTCGTGTGGGACTACACGTGTGCATCCACATTGGCTGATACCTATCTACCTTACAGCGCAGCTGAGGGAGGCGGGGCGGCCACCTTCAGGGAGACCCAGAAAACTAACAAGTACAGGGACCTAGAACGTTGTTACAGGTTCGTGCCAATAGGCTCTGAGACTCTGGGCGCCTGGGGTAAATGTGCACTTAAGTTCCTGAAGGAGCTGGGCGAGGAACTCATTGGGAAGACTAGAGACCCAAGAGCGGCCAGTTTTATGTTCCAGCGCCTCAGTGTCGCTGTTCAGAGGGGAAATGCGTGCTGTATCTTGGGTACGCACCCGACCCCCGAGGAGCTGGACGAGGTCTTCGAACACTGATTGGTATATTGTTATATAAGTGTGTGTTTTCTGTAAACTGTAGCATTGCAATAAAATCAAATAAAAAAAAAATAATAGGGGTGGTAGGAGAGGAAAAGATTAAAGTATTCAGTGAGAATCCACAAGGTCTTCTCTGAACACTATTTATTTTCTTCTTCGAGGATGTGGGTCCCTTTAATAAACCAGTGGTGGTACCCCTTTAATTAAACCAGTGGTGGTACCCCTATATATATATATATATATATATATATATATATATATATATATATATATATATATATATATATATATATATATATATATATATATATATATATATGTCGTACCTAGTAGCCAGAACGCACTTCTCAGCCTACTATGCAAGGCCCGATTTGCCTAATAAGCCAAGTTTTCATGAATTAATTGTTTTTCGACTACCTAACCTACCTAACCTAACCTAACCTAACTTTTTCGGCTACCTAACCTAACCTAACCTATAAAGATAGGTTAGGTTAGGTTAGGTAGGGTTGGTTAGGTTCGGTCATATATCTACGTTAATTTTAACTCCAATAAAAAAAATTGACCTCATACATAATGAAATGGGTAGCTTTATCATTTCATAAGAAAAAAATTAGAGAAAATATATTAATTCAGGAAAACTTGGCTTATTAGGCAAATCGGGCCTTGCATAGTAGGCTGAGAAGTGAGTTCTGGCTA